CCCAAATGAGTCGGTTGTTGCCTATGCAAAGGACAAGTAGGACACAAGTGTTTAGTGCTTCCTCACATGCAACAGCGTCTCACTTCCTGTCGTTGCTCGGAAACATGAAGCCCCGCTTCACCTTCATCTTCAGCATGGCTGAGATCCATCGGTTTTGGCTTACAATAAGCCGAGGTGCTCGCAGAGGTTGCCCTAGCAAAGCTTGGGTTGTACCCGTTCCAACCAAGTCTGGCCGACTTGAAGTTGTGCTCAGCATTCTGAGCGATGCTAACAGCATCCTCAAAAGTAGAGGGATGGACCCGAAACACCTCGGTCCTGGCAACGCCATTACGAAGACCTTCCATGAAGACAGCCACATAGTCTGTATCATGGAGAGAGTCGGACTGCATAGCAGCCATCAGAGGTCTCAATTCTTGAACATAGTCCGTCAACTCGTTCTTACCCTGAAGGGTAGACAAGAAGCGTGATCGCACGAGATAAGCCTGGTTAGGCGGCGAGAAAACTCGAAAAAGGTCGAACTTTAGCAGAACCCATGTGGGAAACACCAAGTCGACCGACGTGTTGCACGTTAAAGCCCCTTTTAGCTCCTCCATCGATATTAGAGATGGTCATCGAAACTTGCTGGTGCTCAAGTGAGATAAGGCCAGAGCTCATGTCCATCTCAATCTCACGGTTCCAGAGGGTGAGATTTCCCCCTCCTTCCCGGGGAATTGTTTAAGGTGCTCCTTGAAAGAGAAAGGCTTAGTCTCTCCTGGTGGCATTGCCACGTAGCGTGTTGGCATAGCCGGCGCTACTTGGTTTTGAACCTGCCCCAACAAGGCCATTTTATACTGCATGAAGGTCTCGACACGTGCATCTAGCACATCAGGACCTTGTGCAGCTAGAAACTCCACATATTCTGGGTCTACGGCCGCGGTCAGCTTATCGAGCGCGACCGTTTGGGTCTCAAAGAGGAGTGTGGATTGTTCCATCCTCACAGAGGATCAGTCGTAACGACTCAGGCGTAGATTGACTACAAGTGATACCAAGTATAGCGGAGCTACACAGCTCCTTAAGTCAGAGGAAGACTTAACGCTCAATGAGCCACTCAAGGTTCACAGAACCCGACTCAAAGAGTCAACAGCTCAAAGAGCTAAGGCTTCGTTTAAAGAACCCGACTCAAAGAGTCAACAAGCTCAGAGAGCTTACGGTCCCTGTTCCAGGGGGACCAAACGATTCAAAGAATCAAACGCACCGAGTGCACAAGGAGTAGCTGCCTTAACAAGGAGTTGTTACCTCCTTAACGATCACAAGACGCCTCAAAGAGGCACGTGTCTATCGGATCAAAATGGGAGCTGAATTTTATTTCTTCTTTTAAACTAAAAGAACACCTTAGAACAAAGTAATTAACTCATTCGCTAATGTCCTAAATAAACCTCTAAAAAGATCTTGTAATCAATGGTTGACAGACATCAGTCTTCAACAATTGATACTGTGTTCTAATATTATTTTAAAGGGGATCCCGTCCCTTGTGTGCACCACACATATTGTCGACTACCAGTCGACGTGTAACCCCGTTACATTTAGAGAACAACGACTCTACGATTTAACACGCTCAGAGAGCAACGATTTTAAGAACGAACACGTTCAGAGAAGAGCGACTCTACTATCCAACGAGGTCAGTAAACAACGACTCTACGAGTCAGCAAAGCTCAGTGAAAATCTAGTATTCCTGGTTTAAGAGACGCTAAGAATTCAGCACAATGTGCTAGAAACTCAATGCATTAACAAGGCTTGCAAAATCTTTTAAAAATGACCTAAGACTTTGGGAGGCATGTGTCTTAAGCTGATTAAAATGGGAACTGATTCTTATTTACTTTTTGAAACGCATGGTTCAGTCCCCTGCAATTACTAAATATTATATTTTACCATCTACCAGAGCAACATCAAAAACGTTTCTATCGTAACTGAAACGACGCTAAATTACATAAGTGATAAGTGATAAGCCACAAGATACACGTGCCTACAACGTGGCGTACCACTGTCTTGTACACTCGATATACATTTGGTCCCGTAAATCCTTATTCGTGCACTTGATTCTGCAGCAGCAGACCCATCATCTTGCGATATATGATTAATATTTCCGCTTATTTCAAGTTGTTTGCGGTGATAAATGTGTCCGATGCAGGTCATAGTATCATTCCTGCAGGTTTTGTCGTGAAAATTCGCACACACGAGTTGCATGAAATTCGATCGTCTCCAATTAGTTCCAATTTAATTTCTACTTCAGTTCATCCAGTTGTAGTCTTTATTTCCCCCTGCGCGTTCCATCACTATTTTCGCGGTCTTCTCAGCCCGATTCAAGCGCTTCTATCTTCACGCATGCATTATTATACTTCTTTTACTTCGTTTTCTAAAAAACCCACGTATAGGGGCACACCACATTTTTGCTTCGGGCACACCCGCTCTCCTAAAATGATAAAAAGGACTTCACATTTTATGGTACAGAATAAGTAAAACACGTAGTGACTTACTACTGCTCGATATATCCCTATCTGAAACGGTCAATGCACTCATGCGCGAAATTTTATCAATCCCATCTTTGCCAGGGCAGTATCCAAACGGGCAATGCCTGCTGGGATCTCTACTGTCTCGAAGACGGAATACAATAGAACGGTACGATGCCAAGGCCTGACCATCGGCAGTGGCAACGACATCCGAGTTTCTACGGGCTTACAGCCACGAGTCGTTTGTAGCCGAGACCCCAACGATTTTCACGAGTCAAGAGCGTTAAGTCGTCGCGGACTTTGCCAAAGATTTCTTCATGACACACGCCGCTAACGTGGAGATACTTTTGCAAGCGTGGAACAAACTTCGCGCGTGGCAGGAGGCGCGCAAGTCGAGAAAGTTTGCAGTTGAACGTTTGGGTATTGCGTGCAAATTGTGGTATGACTTGCACGAGTCGTCGACGTGTCGGCTTGGCGCGTGTACGAAAGAGGAAGACACAGCGCCTTGACGGCTGGCCATGGGACAAGAAGACCCGAAAGTATGCTGCTGAACCATGAGAGGCTTTCGAGTCTCTTTTCCGTTTGCTACGCCAAGATTCAGTGTTCGTCTGTCGCTCGCCGTAAGTTTAGGCAAACGAGAAACCTGATGCAATGCACCACTATGATGTGCGACCTGTGACGACGGGCACCACGCAACGCAATGCGGTCGCTCGCAAGATGAGACTATTGAGGCACAAGAGGTGGCGTTTTGCACGCAACAGCCAGATTCGCGTGACGCCGGGAGAGGTGCATGAAGACGTATGTTAATATGCATGGACTTGGCGTGTGTCCGTCGAAATTATCTGTTGTGGTACGCTAAACAATAGGCCTTGTTTCACAGGATTTTTTAGCTTTGACGTCAAAAGATTGTTGCGCCGCTGAAGCATCTTCAGCACCTCCGCTACTCCACAAAGCCCATGCTATGCCAATGAGCACGACAGCGACTATCCATAGCGCGCCACTGAACTCGGACATTTTTTTCGGCTGCAGCGGACGCTGCTTGGAAACAACTTGCTCTCGGCTGCCTCGATCTTACCTAGCTGATGGCAACCCCAGCGTATTTTCTCCTCCTTCTTCTGCTCTGCCACTTTTTCCTTCAGCATCGTCATGGCTTTACGGATATTCACATCCGTTAGGCGGTGAGTTGCAGCTCGAGTGAGCTTCTCCGTAGCTTCCTCGAGGCACGGACAAACACGTACCGCGTGCAGTATTTGTGGAATTATAGCTAACCTCGGTGACGAGGTACGTACCAACCATACCGCAAACTGTACTGTACGGTATACGTACATTATTCTACACCATAAAATGACAAGTTCTTTCATTTTTAAGGAGGGCGGGTGTTGCCCGTAGTAAAAATGGGGTGTGCCCTAGCAAAAGGGGGTGCCCTAGTCGTGGCCTTATATAAAAAGTGTCGGGTGGCATTACGTCAGATGCGATAGGGCAAGCTGTACAGTCGTGGACACAGCCTTGACTTCGACACTACCGATTCACCACTAGATCGTCATATTTTATCGACACATGATGACGCTGATAAAAGGATCATCGTGATAGAATCTGTATACATAGACATTCTGTATTTCCTGATCACGCGATCACGTCCAATGATGTTTGCTACCAAATTACCTGCTGTTTCCCATCCATGCCAGCTTCTGTTGGCAGATCAGCTGTCGTTTGGTTTCTTGCCACGTCTGCTTCTACCGGTAGGGTTATAAACAATTTTTATAGCCATCTGCAGCTGCGAGGGGTGGACAAATACTCGGCTGACACACAGTAACCTACTTATCGATATTGAGTAGACGGATGCTGACAATGGTCTGCGCGCATTAAATCATGTCGCGATAAGCAAGATGTTCGCTTTCTATCCCTAGTCCAGGATTCAATATTTATGCGGCATTTGTGTATCCGCAAAGGTGTCAAATTGCGGGATACTCATGGGAACTTGAAATTCTGTGCAGCCCAGTGGACCAGAGCAGGGCTTCAGCTGTGACAGCTTGTCGAGATGCGTACACGTTTGACGCAGCAACAAATGGGCGGCATCATATTACCGGTAACAAATCATATTAAATCGTCAGTAAGGTGTAAGTTAACATATCGCTGCACCTGCTTGCTCCAAGCCGACTCGTTAAGATCTGTGCTGAAACGCTACTCACCCGAGATGTTATGCAAAAGATGAACGCGTACACATGATCAACACGAAAAGCTAGCGTACTCACGGCTATGCTCGTTGGTTGACTCTACATTGTACAATGGCTTTTTTCAAATAAAATAGAATATGAATCTACTAGTGTCTGCGCATCAAAAACGATCTCGATCGATTTGTCCAACTGCATCTACTTATCGATCCCTCAACCTCACGTCTGCTATCGAGATGTCCATAGGCACGACTCAAGCATACGCGGTCGGATTCCTGGTCCATTCTCGAATCGGAAGCCGTCAACTCCAGCACCTGATCCACACCAGCGTCAGATCCACAGCATGCGCCCGCTTAACATCGTTGTCTACTCGGTTGCTGTCCTCCACGCCATGGACGTCGGTCCTCAACTAGCGGCAGCCTTGGAACAACACAAGGGAATCTCGTCGCAGGCTGCTGCAGTGGATTCACAGGTGTCGGCTGCTGATACCGTGGACCCATCAGAATCCCGACGTTTTAAAGCTCGTGATCTGTCAGACTTCATAAAGGTTGACCACGATACGTACCATGTATTCTCGACGGCAGACAGGAAGCTCGTCAAGTACCTCAAACAACAGCTGGAGTCGCACGGCATGGTCGACGTAACGTCACTTCCCAAGCCACTGCCGAGACCTGTACACTTCCTTGAGGCTTTGGGTCTTCCGCGAGACGCGCTGAAGCTTACCTTCGACGGGATGGACCCAGCGAGAAAGGATGGCTTTTGGCTTAACCTACTCGGCGTACACGATGGCTACAATCAGCTAGGTCGTCTGCGCGAATATGAGGAAGCGTACGAGAAGCACATAGCCGAATTGGCCGAGTTAGCCGAATTAGCCGAGTTAGCCGAGTTAACGGCCACGGGTAAGGAGTCCGTTAAGCCCATTGGTAAATTGGCAGCGATCGTCAAGGTGTACTTATCGCGCGTGCTTGCATTGTAAGCTGATAATACACACACAATCCTCGCATCGTCAGAGGTGTTGACCATTTGTTCCGTCTTGTCACTTTAAACGCTCTTCATCGCCTGGGCTGCTCACTCGAATCGGGACGTGCGAGTCCATCACGCTCAAGCAAGCACCGCAGAAATAGCCTCCAGCATCAGCACCAACACATATCGCTACACAGAAGAGAGCAACAATAGTTCACGGACGAACACGCCAAAACCCTTATCTACTGCTGTTCCGCTCGCTTTTCAGCTTGGTTCGCGTGCGCGCCAAACTTCGCGGCAAAACCACGAACCCCATCGTCGTCATCACGCAATTCACCCATGACTTGTATAGACTCAAGCACTTGCTCTATACCGACGCTTTGCGAGTTGGAATATCACACGTTGTGGTCTTTGCGATTCCGTCCGTCAGCGAAAGGCTTGACCGATAGGGCATTCTCTGACTGCAACTGATTAGCCTCGATGACATGGTCCAGGATCATCACCACTTGACGCAGTTCCCGCTTCAACTCGACGAGGTCCTCCACGTGAGCGCCATTCAAAGAGCGCGACGCATCGCTCGACAACCCATGCAGCGCAACTGCTTGATGCCGAGCTTCTGCACAATCTCGTCAGCGACGTATTCTGCGCGAAGGTGACAATCTCGTGTTTATTGGCAAAGTCTCGACAGAAATGATCGGCATCCGGGCGCTTTGCATGGTGCCAGCTATTTGGCGCTGTACCATTCCACATTCAAACACACATGACACACAGCACAAAACAAGACAAGCGTCTTGAGACGCTCCTGGCCACAACATGCCGTACAGAATCGATCCCAGGATGCTGCCCTACATGATATGCAGCAAAAGAATCGCAACTCGAGACGACTACCGAGCGACTCCCGCTCGAGACCATCAGTTCGAGGCAGGGCGTGAAGATGCGTGTCCCGTTCGACGTTAGCAGCGACGAGAGATGCTCCCGAGAGAGCTACAAAGGTGTGTGGACTACCGAACGGCCGGTGCAAGTGGCAAAATTGTCGAGCATTGCGCGCTGCAGATGTCAGTACGCCATGCTGGACAAGACCTAGCAATGGGCTCTTTTTCTGAGCAGCTCGTAGGCAGTCAGCGTTTTGTTGCAAAGAGGGCGCTGCTGGTGGACGTGAATGCATATATGATTATGCCCGGGGCAGTTCTGGTTTGCGTGTAGTTTACAAAGTTCCGTGATAAATGGGTCCAGTACATTGTAATAGACGGTGCGGGCCAAGGATGAGTGCTTCCTGTCCGGGAGGTTGAGGGTTCGGAGCCTCGGCCTGTGGACAGGTGTATTCGCCTAGGCACGAGTCCAAAACCGCGCCACCCACTGGACCTAAACATGGGTCGCAGCCGGCATACGAAGTGAAGCAAATTGCAAAGGTGCGCCACCGAGTCGGAATCCTGTACGTTACTGATTGCATTGATATCTGGGCAGTTGAGGATCGCAAGTGAAGCTTTGCTGGGTAGAATGAATTGACTAAAGGGCAAGTGCTGATGATGTTATGGCTGCTGCTGCCACTGGTGCTTGCTCCCCACGTTCGGCTGCCAAGCGACTTTGCCTCGCCGCTTTTGGACGTCACAGCAGCTGACGGCAAGTGGATGACCTAGCAAAGGGACTGTGAATAGGTAACGATGTGATGTTGACGGCGAAGATGTCGCAGATAGTCACGTCTGAATCGCTCGACGCCAGATCGAGCACTTTTACTATGGTGTGTAGTGAGGACTGACGTTTGACGCCTTTGGTGACAGCAGTGCGTTTTCTCACCGATTCGTAAAGTCGCTGAAGGAGGCGCTGATGGAGGCGGAGACGAGGAGCTCCTTGCGGGCGAGTACGCCGCGAGTATAGCTATTGATCATATTGACATGGGATACCGAAAGGCGTGCCAATGCTGTGTCAAACAGGCCAAAGTGGGAGCGAAAGGGTATTCTTCTTTGTTTGAAGACATACGGTGCGATATCTTGAGTTCAAATGGTTGCACGAGCACGTAAGCTGGAATTGTTGTGATTTTTCTGTTTGTGACAGAGTAGCGGGCGTCATAAGCTCTTCGTTTGGAATTCACGCGTGGCCAGTAAGCATGTGACGCAAGTGATCACACAGTGTAGTGTGGCAAGAACGTATGGAACGTGGGGAGGTGGCTGTACGTGCGCTGTAATATTATTGCCTGATTGATATTCATAAATGCACAGAGCAGATGAAAAGCGGGTTGTCGAAGTAGGCGTAGCCTATGTGCGTCATTACGAGCTTGGATCGGAGCACAACCTCCAATTGATCCCGACTGAGTGACATGCCAAACACCAGTCGATTCGATAGTGCTATATTTCAAGGTGTGCTGTCGTCCTTCATTTGTACCGATGTTCTTCCATAAGTTTGGTAATGTCATAAAATGCGTAGTGTCAACGGCAAGTTAGGGTGCATCGTCTATCTCATGTCGTGCTTCTGACGCGGACTTCATCGAGATCCCGCTATAAAGCCTGCGTGTATAACTTTCGCTGATCCAAGAAGCTCATGCATCGTACCGAGTGTACTAAATACTACGGTGAGGTTTGGTATCCAGAAGATAGCATGCACACCAGTACATTTTCTTCTAGCTGGAACGCTGCACAAAATGCAATAGTGCCCATGCTGATTGAGGCTAAGACGTCTTTCACTTCCAATAAAGGGGTTGGCATGTACCAAACTTCTTGTTGTAGACTGAAGGTCGAGGAAATTATCTTTCGGCCCATAGCTTTTTCATATGATCTACCCACGAGGTCCAAGTCATTCTACTACAGTAGCTCGCCGTTGCCGTCTTCGTGCACCCACGAGTAGCATTGCACGACATCTTCCAAATCTTTTTCGGAAGAGACACCGTAGCCCGCCACGAGTCCTTCGACTTAGTAGCTACGGTCGACCCTACCTGGCGGTGACACTATCACGCCATGTACACTGCATTTGTAGCAAGTGCACCGCAGTAAAATGCAAAAGCAATACCTCTCTTTTTTGCTGCGTCTAAGAGCAGCAATAACGTGACAGGCGAATACGGTCGTTCGAAATATTTAAGTGCATTGCGTCAAGTTCAAACCCCGTCAGCATATGTTGGGCAACGGACACAAATGGCTGTGGCGACATAATTTCGAACGATAATGTCAGCAGCAAGATCCATCTGGTCAGCAGCTCTACTTTCAGTTGCTTCAATCCACCATCTTGCATGACTACTACCAAACCCTGCGGGCACAAACTGGTGGCAAAGCGAAGTGAACACACGCAAGTTGACCGTTCTTCAAGCACCGACCTTTTTGACGAATTGATGCCGGTCAAAGTTTCCATGTAACTAAACGAAGGTCCTGCGAGATAAAGTGTAACACACGAGCCCACTTGTACTCATTCGGGAACCCTGACACCAGCGCGTAAGACCTCTTGAAGAAGCGGGACCCGCGTCACCGCATAGCTGGGGCTATAGGGACTAGCTAGCACCTGGAAAATCTGGCCGTAACTCCTGTTGCGCAGAACGATACCCAGGACCAGAAATAGATTGTTGTCTCTCCCTAAGTGTAACGGAACACACCCTTGCGTAACTTAACGCAAGGGATTTGGGTGCCCCGACGGACGTACACGTGGCAAGCGAGGAAGCGTAGGTAGGGTAAAAGTAGAACTGTTATATTAATAAATTAAGTCTTTAAACTACTGTCTCTTCGTTTGACTTAATCCAATTATACTAATATAACTGCATGTATGGTGACGTCTCGTCACCACTCATTGCGCGCGTCTTGCGGCGATTGGTGGGTTGATATCATCACGATATCAACCAATGAACAGACCCTTTGGTCGACCCTTCAATATCACCACTTTGGTGATATTGTTTTAAAGAATATCCATCTTTATATTCTTTATTGTCACTTTCCTTAAAATGACAATTTCATGTAACGGGCTGCCCCGTTACATCACCCCCCTTAACTGATATTCACCGTGTGACTATCGAAAACATGGAGGCCACCCGTTGGCCACCATTGGGACAGGGAGCACTTGTTGGGTCCGTTCCATTCACTTTCCGCTTGACCTCGCATAGTTAACATGTCTATGCGAGGTGACTCAAGACCCACACAGCCTGGTGCTGTGCAAGCCTCTGCGGCAGACGCTTCGTCGTCTGCCGCCCCTTCTTCGCCTGCAGCAACAGGTGCTGCAGGTGCACGCGGTATCACACCGCGTGCGCACGATGACCCTGATGTAGAGGTCATCTACTCTGGCGAGTCAGACGTGTCTGACTCGGGCAATGCTCCAGAGGCGTCTCGCTCACCGGCGACGCCTCAGTATTCGCCAAGACCACTGCCGAACGAACGGACTCGTGATTTGCATCACAGTCTGTTCGGCAGTGATGATGATGATGATCAGGGTGGTGAGTTCTATTCTTCACCACCGCCGGCTCGTGCGTCTTCGCACGAGCGTGATGACGATGGCGCGAGCCGTGGTACCGACAAGGGTACCACTGTGAAGCGTGATGAGTTGAAGCCGTGGCGTTTGCCCGAACAACTCATCAATAGCCTGTCTCACGAGACAGGCCAACACCATCGAATACCCTTATTCGATGCAACCGAGCTTCACGGCTTGAGTTCCAGCGCGAAGAACTTTCGCGCTCAAGAAGAATTTTATCTCGATGTCTTTCTTAGACATCGATGGTACAATAGCAACCAAAAGCGTGACAAAACATCGCTTTTGGCTGCGTGGAACGCGTTCGTCCAAAACGTAAAGAATTTTGGACGAGAAGGGTGGCTCAAGAAACTTGAGGCAACACGCCTCAGGTTCGAACGGCGAACGCCAACCGGTGCTAGGTACCGGTTGCATTGTTTATCGAGTGAGGCAGGCATTCCTTGCCTCACATGGGGAGACCCTTGTGCGAGTTGTGTTGACAACTCGCAGCGTTCACATAGGGATGTGTACTCCCTAAATTCGCCCTGGGGAAGGGCACATCTCTCGGACGAGATGCGTGACGCGATTGCAAACTTGCAA